CCCACCCCCCACTCCCATCCCCCACTCCCACCCCCCAGCAAGCTGTGACTCTAAAGGATGTCTTCAGGCATCACCACATATCCTCTGGGCTTGGTTACATCAGTACTATTGTGAGTCTCTCAGACTTGGCCTCGTGGTCACAAGATGTCTTCCAGACATCTCACATCTACTCAGGACAGAAAGAATGCTAAGGCTCGACTGAGGAATAACTCCGTTGACAGAATGCTTACCTTTCGTGCACAGAGCCCAGGGCTTGTTCCGCAGGACCACATACATCAAGCATGGTGGTGCACTCCCACAATACCAGCCATCAGTAAGAGGTTGGGGAGTTCGAGGCCATCCTTGGCCACATAGCAAAGTTGAGGGTAGCCTGGGAAACATGAGATCCTGCCTTAACAAAAAAGTATGAAGAAAAAAGAAGAAGAAAAGGTGATTGCCAAGGTCTAGCATTGCCCAGTACTCGCTCTCATTAGGAAGGGGAAGCTGCAGAGGCCCCACAGACTTCCACCGGGGACTCCCTAGTTCAGATGGGAACATGTCGGGTGGAGAAGCAGCTGCGTTCACCCACACTCTCCTGTCCTAGTGGGAGAGGGAAAAGATGGCGGACAGGGTGTTCTCAGACAGCCCAGGGCTCCAGAGTACTGAGACAGGTTTCCGTGTCCACTGCCATCGTGCCTGAAGCCGTGTCCAGCCTGAGGTGGCCGAAGAGCAGCAGGAGTCACATTCAGCTGTCACTACTGCAGTGAGTGAGTGGTTTCTGTTTGTTTGTTTGCGTGCGTGCGTGCGTGCGTGTGTGTGTGTGTGTGTGTGTGTGTGTGTGTGTGTGAGTTCTCTTCTTCCACCTTTACATGGGTTCTGGGGATTGAACTCGGGTCTCTAGGCTTTCCACACAAGCACCTTTAACTCCCTGAGTCACCGTGCCGACCTCTGAGTCCAGAAAAGTCTTCAGAAAACTGGCTTGCTCCAAGAAGTCTCTCACTTCCTTGTTGTGTAGCCTCTGGTCACTTGGTCCCCTCTCTGGGTCTCTGGCACCTACCTAGCCTTTGCTGGCGCCTAGGGCAGGATTTCCCCACTGAAACGGGATCCTCCACGACGCAGGGGCCAGTGATGACAGCATCACAGCGTGATGGCAGTTTCAGGCTTGTGCCAAGGGCTCCACCTCCAGAGCTGCTGACCACGTGAGCGTTATAATTATCCCCTGGTGGCAAGAGGGTTACAGAGGACTGGTCAGCCCCCGCCCCGCCCCCGTCCCTCTCCCGGCCAGCTGGGCAGCCTGTCTGTGTCTACACCATCAAGGCTGACAATTGGCTTTGCCAGCTGGGTAACGGGGCAGCCCAAGCCTGAAGCCTGCTCACTTCTGAGCTTGAGGGGAGTCTCCTCTTGCCAGGTGCTGCTGGCATCCACACACAGGTTTAGACAAACTTTGGTTGATTAGCTAGGCTACAGACTAGCTGGGCTATGACCAACAGCACCCCACTGCAGCCCAGAGGATGGGGTGCCAAGGGGGTTCCCCATCTCCCCAGCCCTCAAAGCAGGGGACCTGGGCCTCTTCTAAATGAGATTGACAGGGTGAGATGGCGTCTTGGAGTTGGCTCAGGAGCCTCAGTCCACTCCAGCTGAAATCCAGACTAATGGATAACGGTGTAGTACCTAAGAATGGCTTTTTCTGGGTTAAGTCACATAACCTAGGGGAATCCCCAGTGAAGGCCTTAGCAAGTACCACAGAGGCCAAGTGAACTTCATGATTAGTGGTGCGTGAGGCAACTGTCAGCACTCAAAACATGTCCCTGAGCCAAGCATGGAGGTGCAATGCTTGTGATCCCAGAACTTGGGAGGCTGAGGCAGGAGGATAGAAAGTTGGAGGTTGGCCTGGGCTACACAATGAGACCCTGTGTGTGAAGTGGCAGGGAGGGGAGTCTTCATTACAGCTGTCACTTCTGGGCTTTTCCAACCCGCCGTTCCCTACCTCCCACGTGGGGCTTGGTCCTTCCTGCCCTCTCTGCCCCTACTCAGTGCCCACGTGGGCACTGTGCCTGATGGAGATACCCACTATGCACACCTCGTCCCTCGCTCTCACTGCAGCTGCAGGCGTCGAGGATGGGAGAGTGGCGGGTGTCTGCTTCCCACTCATGGCATCCCTGGCCCAGAGTCGCAGCCGATAAGGCATGTGTTTAGAGCAGGGCAAGTCGATGCGCGCGCGGGGGGGGGGGGCACGGACGTGGAACGTGGAGCCCCTGAACAGGTGCAAGGGTAGGTGATGCAGAACCCCAGAGAGCCAGGAGGAGCTGGGTGCAGGGACCGTCCTCCGACAGCCAGAGTTTCGGAGTCGGAGGCTCAGCCAGCCCCCGGAGGTCACGCCCGCGCCGCGCTCTCGCACGTTCTGTGATCCCCTCCCCCTCCTCCCGCCTAGGCAGCCGCACGTGCCTGCAGCATCCGCCCAGCGCGCTTCTTGGGGCGGGCCCTTGGGAAGCGGAGGGGCGGGGCGGAGCGGGGCGGGGGCAGGGGCGGCGCTGGGACTTGTAGGCGCCAAGCCCTGAAGCCAACCGTCCTGGTCACCAGCGGTGATGTGTCACCCAGGGGAAACTGAGGCCCCAGGAAGGCACCTAAGTGGCTCAAGATTTCAGGGCCAGGCAGTCTCGGTCCTCTAGGGATAAGTCAAGAACATACTTTAACCAGTTTTTTAAAGACACTTCTTAAGGGATCTTTGGTCGTGAGCCTTTTTTCATTCCACCATGGATCCACTCAACAGATATTCCCGAAGGCAGACCTATCTTACGGAGCCCTACAGCTTGAGGAAACCCTGCAAGATCCCTGCTGTCAGGGAACTCACTCAACAGCATCAGGAGACCCTTAGATCAGGAAAAGCCGCGGTTGGGTAGTGAGTGCCTGGGGAAAATAAGCCAAACAGCAAAGGAACTTCTGTGAAGCGAGGAGGGCAAAGGGGAGCGAGTGAAGCTGCGAAGAGGTATCCCAGCAGGTTTCCGGCATGGGCTGCTGCCCTCTGCGAAGGCGCCTAGGTGGAATCAAGCTTCTCCGGCAAGGAGCCGACTTTGTAAGCACAGGGTGGGGCTGAGCCCACCAGGAGACTACCTGCCTGCCTCTCTGTCCTCCTTGACAACTCGGGTGGGCCAGTTGTAACCCCACTAAAAGTTGCAGGTCGTCAGGTTCCAATGTGATAGTCAGAGATGAGGGCATGGGGGACACGGGATGAGAGCTGCTTCCAGGTCCAGCGGCTAAGGTGTCGAGCCTGCTTCTGGGCAGAAATTCCTGATTTCGTTTTTAGACGCGGCTTTATGTCTTACAGGCTAGCTTCTGAACTTCTGTGTAGCAGGGGATGAACCTATAATCAATCCTCTCAACTCCACCTCTTGAGTATTAGAATCAGTGCGTCGCCACACTCTGAGATTCACGGCTCTTCGACAAGGGGCCACGTTTGTATTTGCACTGGGCCAGAAGAGTTCTCTGCAGGCTGGCACCCCAAGCCCCCCTTCTACACATGGCATGCTATGCTCTCTGTTTTCCTGCTAAGGGGTGACCCTTACAGGAGTCTCCATGCTAGTGACAAAGGAGCCCAGCCGCCTCTGCTCTTCCCCGTGGTCTCATGGCTCTTAGCCTCCATCAGGCTGTAAAAGACACATTCACTGTGGATTAGCCCTCATTTCCACAAAGGCACTAGGGTCCCAGGGGTATGCTTCTGCTGAAGATCCAGCATAAAGTGCCTGACACCCCAGGTCCCCAAAAGTATTTATGATGCGAATTATGTCTATATACACGGCAAAATCCACTTTGCATTTACTTTTTTTTTTTTTAAATAGAGTCTCATTTAGCCCAGCTGGCCTCAAACTTACTACATAGGTAAGGGTGGCCTTGAACTTCTGATCCTCCTCCTTCCTCCCCTTCCTGAGTGCTGGGTTTACAGGTGTGTGCCACCAGCCAGGTTTACGTGATGCTGAGATCAAACGCAAGGTTTCGCACACGACCAGCTGAGCCACTACTTCGGACCTTTTAACGAGTACGTTGCACCCCTAGTCGCTTCGGCGTAAACCACTGAACGGAATCTGCCGGACCCTGCGCAGGGCGAGACCAGCTGATAACCGCGAACACTCAGGAGCTAAGCCGACTCGCCGGCCCCTTGTCCTGGCACGTGGGGCGTGTCCAGAACTACATTTCCCGGCGCCCCCCGCTGTCAGGGGCGTGTCTGAAACGGGGGGCGTGGCCGCTGGGCGTGGCCGGCTACAAAGGCGGCCGGCAGCCCGCGGGGCTCAGAGTAGGCGCTTCGCGGCGAACCGAAGAGCGGCGCAGGACGGCGTGGGGGAGTCGGATTCGGCCTGCGACGTCCCCGCATGCGCCGGCCGGCTCGGTAGCGGCGGCCCCGATGCTGCTGCAGCCCGCGTGTGCTTCGAGCGTACTCCCGCGGCCGCCCGCCGCCCCCAGCGCCATGCACGGCTCGCAGAAGGACACCACGTTCACCAAGATCTTCGTGGGCGGCCTGCCCTACCACACCACCGACGCATCGCTCCGAAAGTACTTCGAGGGCTTCGGAGACATCGAGGAGGCCGTGGTCATCACCGACCGCCAGACCGGCAAGTCCCGCGGCTACGGCTTCGTGAGTGCCCGCGGCGCGCGCACCTGCCGCCGCCCCTCCCCCACCGCCTCCCAGACCCGCCGCGCGCAGCCGGGACTCCGGGGCTTCCCGGGGCCGTCGGGTCGGCCCTTCCCCCACACTTTCCAGCCTCCCCAAATAAGCGTCAGCTTTAGCACTAGCTACTTGAAGACGGTTTCCCACTTCCTTCCACTCGAGTGTCCCCAAACTTCTCCTCTGAGAAAGTTAACGGTACTTACTCCTGGGCAGAACAGCCTTGGGGGGTGGGGGGCCCTTCTCTAGGGATTCTCTTTGCTCCACCTCCCAGGGGATTGTTGCTGTCCTTGAAGGCTTGATTTCCCAGCACTTGAACTTAGAGGAAGGAGCTGTAATCCAGCAGACAGAGAAGACAGCCCCAAGGGTCCTAAGTACTAGATACCCTCCTGGGAGGAGACCCAGGGATGGCCTGATGCCAGGGCAGGACCCTCTTCCCCTCTGTCCTGCTTCCCTCAGCCAGCCACCGAAGCCCCTGACCCTCTGTGTTCCCGCAGGTGACCATGGCGGATCGGGCAGCAGCTGATAGGGCCTGCAAAGACCCCAACCCTATCATCGATGGCCGCAAGGCCAATGTGAACCTGGCCTACCTGGGTGCCAAGCCTAGGAGCCTGCAGACTGGTGAGAGTTGGAGTTTTCTTTCCAGCCCTTCTTGTTTCTATATTCAGCCTTGCTCTCTGTCTGATGGAATACACTGCCCCCCCTCCCCCTTTGTCCCAGAGTGGCGGCCAGCGATCATGTGCCTGCAGAGCCAGCCTGGGGCAGCCACCCCTAGCTTGGGAGCTTGATGGGCAGTGTATAGTCCCAGGGATACCGATTCTCAAATGTCTGCCCTGCTGGCGGTGGGGAGGGAAGAAGAAGTCTGTAGCTGACGAGGCTGGAGATGAGGAGTCACCCAGAGAAGCTGCTGCCACCTGTGGACTTCTGAGCTTTGACTGGGTGTTTTGAGAGTTCACTAGCAGGGACAGAGGTGGTGGCTGGGATGGGAGAAGGAACTAACCATCGTTTGACTAGGGGAGTGTGGCACCTGTGAGTCTGCCTCCCTGTGTGTGGCTCTGGGGCCTTACCCAACCTTACCCTGTTCCTAACTGTCCTCTGGTTTTAGGCTTTGCTGTTGGTGTGCAGCAGTTACACCCCACCTTGATCCAGCGCACCTATGGGTGAGTGGATATAGCTAGTGTGGGTGGGAGGGCTCTGAGGTGGGACCGCTGTGGGCCTCTCGGTCTGAGACCCGAAAGGCTGGGGAAATGGCTGGTTTCAGAAATCGGATTGTGTTTTGGAAGTGTGGAGGGAGAGATAAGACCAACTACATTTCTCTAACGTAAGGGGGGGGGGAACATGCCTTCCAGCCTGGTGCGCACCTTGCCGCACATCCTCTCCTTACCTGTACAGTGGATGTGGGGACAGCTGTTCAGACTCGGGGTTCAGTCCACACCCAGTGCTGAAGTGTCTGCTAAGACGGGGCCTGGTGGGCTGGGCTCTTCCGGGGTGCTCTCTGATGTGGGTCTGTACCAGGTGAGGTTGATGTTTGTGAATGGCGTAGTAGGCAACTGTCACTAGTTGGCTTTTTGTGTGAGTCACTTGCTCTGTGTCCCACCTCCTTCCACCCTAGAAAAAGGGACAGGCCTGGCAGCTGCTTAGGGAAGGGTGGCTCACACACCTAAGGGACACAAAAGTTAGACCCTGCCGCTTGGTTTGGCCACAGTCACCTGTTTATCCAGTGTAGACTGGCTGTGAATGGGCCCGGTGGGTGGGGACTCTGACAGCCACCCCACTTTGCAGTGGCAAGCTTGCCACATTCTGACTGCCAGGTTTCTGTCTCAGCTCGGTGGGTGGGGTAGAGTGGGGTGTCTGTGGGGGCTGGAGCTGAGTGGTAGAGTGGGGTGTCTGTGGTCTGTGGGGGCTGGAGCTGAGCCTGGCCGGCACACTGGGTCAGATGGCTGGAAAGGGTGCTGCTTGCTCCTTCTAAGTGCTTGTCCTGTGGGGCGGCACTTTTATTCTCCACAACTGTCCTTGAGATTGGTGGGAACTGAGCAGGGCGTATCTATGGGGAGCTGTGGTCTGGGCCTCGGCCTGTGTTTCCTGTCGTGGTGTCACCGTTCTCCTGGGGAAGTACTTGGGGTGCTACCGTGGCAGATGGTGCCAGGTCACTTTTTTGGCCTGGGATCTGTTCTAGCCTGTCTGGAAGGAGTTTGGGAACTTCAAGTTAGCTTCTCCCCTGCTGGCTGTGTGAGGGGGTGCCCCTACTTCCGGGAGCTTGCTGTGCTCCTGGGCCTGGGTTTCAGGCTGGTGCTGAGCTGAGCTGAAATATGCTCACACAGACAGTTGCTTACTCTGGGACAGGGCCTTCCCACTGGCTCTGACACATAACAATGGCCTTGCAGTCACTAGTGTCTGGCCTCTGTGGCCCTCAAATCTAGGTTCACAGCCTGCCTGTTACTGTCCCACTGTACCCCCTTTAGTTGCCTTTCCTCATCTGGAAAATAGGGACCCTGGTACTTAAGGACAGCATGCTGTAGTCTCCTGGAAAAGGCCTTCCTCCTGTCCTCGTAGATGGCTACTGACTTACCCGGGGCTGAGGTTTGAACCTGTATACTCAGGGCCACACTTGCTGTCTTTGGGGGCAGGCATGTTCCAGGAGCCCTGATTCTCAGGTGCATCTGACATCGGGGCCACAGTGATTTGTAACTAGATTAGTGGACTGGTCATCTAACACTGTGACTACGAAGTGGCCTCACAGTGTTTGTAGGTTGCCAAGGAGTGTAGACCCAAATGGACAGGTGGGCAGAGGGACTGGCCGACCTACATTGCCATTGGTCCTTGGGTTCCTTCGAGGAACATCCCACGGCCGCCCTTACAGACTCAGGGAGTGGTGGTGGTGGTGGTGGTGGTGGTGGTGGTGTGGCCAGGCCTCACTGCCTGGGGCATCACTGTAAGTGCCCTGCCCTCCCAGCTGGGAGGCAGAGTTGGGCTGTCAGCGGCCCCCTTTGTTTTTGCAAACAATCAGGCCACCCTGACTCAGCGGTTGGTTTTGTCCGTCAGCCTTAGTCTGCCCTGGCTGAGGGCCTGGTGGGAGCTGGAACCCTGGCAGTTCAGAGTCTGCAGGCGCCTGCCTGACTATACTTTTTCCTAGGCCTTCTGGGCCCTTGACATTCTGAAGACCCCACAGCCCGCCTATAGGCCAAAGCACTGTGGGGTCCTCACCTGTCTGGTCAGAACTACCCATCAGCTTACAAAGACTCTGAGAGAACTCAGTGCTTTGCTGTTTGCCCAGGTCCCATTTGCTTGCCCCATGCCTGCTTGTTGACCAGGCCTATATAGCCTTGATGGCTGGCTGTACAGCCTGTGCCTGTCCATCATGTAACTGTATCTTCGGGCCAAGGCTTAGTATCTGGTGAAGCCTTCCTCAGCCATTGCAATAGCTTTTGCCAGCCTCCAGGCCTTGTGGTAGGCAGTCCCTGGTGGAGATAAGTGACCCGGGGCCTTCTAGCAAGGGGGGCTCTGCCAGCCCTGGAGCACAGAGGTAGTGCAGGGGCAGGGAGGGCCGGGCAGTTGGAGATCACCCCACCCTGGTTATGTGTTGATCTAGCTTATCAGGGCCTCCCAGGGTCAAGAGTGTCTGTCCACGTTCAGCCCGAGGCTCACGGAGAGCAGAGATTTGTCTCTGGCCTGGCAGCCCTTGGAACCTCTCCTGAACTATATTTGAAGGGCCTGTTGCTCCAGCAGGCTGCTCTCCGTGTTCTTAGGGGGAATCCTTGCTGTGGCTAGATGCCCAGGCACTCTGATCCTTCTCCCCAAAATAGGGCCAGGCCCTAGGGGTTGAGGTCAGGCCAGGGTCCCAAGGCCACTGGGTGTCAGGCTGCCCCTCCGTACAGTAGCAGTGTTGACAGGGCCATGTTAAGGACTAACTGAGCGTGGTGTATGCAACATGCTGATCCTAAGGCCACGGAAAGCTTTGGGGTTTCTCCTGGATGATCCCACAACAGGCCCTCAGCTGACCTAAGCTTGGGGCCATATAGACTGCTGGCCTGCCCTCTCCCTAGGGCCGCTCAGCCCCCCCCCCTTCCCAGCAACTCTCTGCTCATGTGACAGTTTTTGGATGAATGTGCTCAGGTGCCCAAGACCAACAACAATCGAGGATTGTCCCTCTGGCTTGAGCTTTCCCACAGCCATCATTTTAGAGACTGTTCTCTGTAGCTAGTGTTTTTCTGGTCCTGCCTTGCCCACAGTCAGGACAAATCTTTGTCACCCGCCAGTCTCGCAGCCACTCAGACCCAACCAAGTAAACACAGAGACATATTATTTATAAACTGTATGGCCTAATGGCTCAGGCTTCTTGCTAGCTGTTCTTATATCTTAAATTAACCCATTTCTATAAATCTATACCTTGCCACATGGCTCATGGTTTACCAGTATCTTACATGTTGGTACTCATGGTGGCGGCTGGCAGCGTCTCCTGACTCAGCCTTCCACTTCCCAGAATTCTCTTCTCTGCTTGTCCTGCCTATCCTTCCTGCCTGGCTACTGGCCAATCA